GTTCTTGCATCTCCTCAATTTCTTTGCAACCTTAGACCACTGAACTTTTCCATTTTCTTTTCGACGCCACTTTCCTTTCTACTCTTCAACCAAATGGGTAGCCAAAAGACAGCAACCAAAACCGGCGCACGAAAGTGCATGGTTAATTGCTGTTCAAACTGAAACTGAATGGTAGTTCGCATTTATACCGTTTAGTGGATACACGTTCAGTATTATTCGAAAACTTTTGAGAAACAGTCACTCTTTTGCAAGTGTTTTCTGACTTACACCTTTGGGAAAATTCTCGGGGTAGAATTTGGTGACATATTGTCAGGCGACAATAATATATGATGGTTTTATCATTTTTCATTCCAGTGTAACGGTAAACACAATTTTTGATTGAAATGCAGGCAAAAAAGTCCATGTAAGTCGTTCCTCAAATGGTTTTCAGAGCTGGCGAATTACCAAGCAACGTGGTCTATTTACTCTGAACCGGCACTGCAAAGCTTTCAAGCCTTAGCGGTGGAGCAATTCGTTTCCGTATGTGTACATGGCCCAGTGTACCTTGGCCGAAGAAGGATCTGCATTGTCAAGGAAGAATGCAGCTAGGCTGAACCACAATGAGAAAATCTGCATCCCTGTTTGGTTTGATTTTCAGCCCAGCCCTCCTTTTGTGAGCATAGCGCTACACAATTGAGCGAATATATAAGCAAAATGTGAGCTGATGCGGCCAGCATTAGATACTTTTTGAAGAGGTTGAATGAAGACGTGGAAACTTGGTGTTAGGTTTCTGTCATTAACATAGTATATAAATCACGGTATTCAATTCGGATGTCATGCTGAAACAAATCGAATTATTGATAGCTAGTAAATGAGTTGAGATTTAGTGATCCTATTCAGGTGGAATACTGCTACCTCTCTCTGTATATATTGGAATATCGTGTTTAGGTTTTTCGTTGAGTGCCTCTCAATGCCAAGGTATCCGGTAACCGTAATGGGTTCAAAAACAAGCAAAGTTCAAGAAAACCTCGGCCTTATAAAAATCTTTTTGACTTAGGACTTAGGTTGAACCGTCCCATGCAACGACGTATGCCCAAATATACGTTTGAGTATGATGACCGGTTTATCGCTTCAGTCTGCGTAAATAGCTTTCCTATCCGACGGATCGCCGTCGGGTATAGTACAATCGAATACATACGTCATTTATTGGTTTAGGTTTTTGAATCCCCTGAGTCTGACCCTAAAGGCTTTTCTACATGCACACTTCTATTGGTATAGTTGGCTGGTGAACAGATACAACTAAATTGCAATTCCTGCTATTCGAATGCAAGTATCGCGGTTAGTAGATTTTATTGCAATTTATCAGTAGTCACCTTGGGCTCGCTGACATTACAACCGCGGTTGTAACTGGCTATGTAACGTACCTTGTTTAAAGAAATACACCCGAGTACCATCGGAGCGCAAGTAGAAGTTTTCGCCGAGGCATTTGCCTTTCTTAAATCGTAGCTGGACCATGTCACCACGGCCGTAATCGCGAAATAAAAAAATTCCCCCCGGTTTCATGTAAGAAACCAGGTTCACCATGACAGAAGTAAATCTGAAACACATGATTATTAGAAAATTTCATGCATACTTCTCCGGACTGACAGCGGACAAGACAAACACCATTACGATGACGTCAATGCTGTTTTTCGGAAAAGGCAATATGGCGTCAGTTGCTGTTACATCGAATACAAACGCATGGCAGCGAAGTGGGTCGTAATCCGGTGATTTCTACAATGAAATCAAAGCAAGCTTGATCCTACCTTCAGCAACTCGACTGCATTCGTAGAAAAGTCTGAGGTGTACAGGAACATATTTTGTGACCTAATAAAAAAAATATGCATGCACCTGTGGTAAATGCTTCCATACTTGTTATTGCGAAGAATAGGAACAGTCGTATTTCCGACACCGCAACCGACTTCAAAAATAGTGCAATTTTCTAAGCCGAGTTAACAATAATTTTATCCTACCGTTTTCATTGAAGAGTTCTGGGAATTCCGTTTGCAACCAAGTTCGGTCTTTAAAAAATTTGTCCTGATGTTGAGCATAGAAGTGATCCCAATATTTTGCGGCAGCGGTGTCATACTGTTCTAATCATATACGCTACTGAATAAAACAGTTAGTGATGGCCAAACCTTTGACATCGTCAGTTAAAATGTCTGCGCTATTTTGTGCAATCACAGCATTGGCTTGAGATTCCTGCTCTGTGGTCCACAATACGTTATCCCTGAGAGAAAAATTCTTAGGAATCACAAAGTTGTAACATACCAGGCATTCTGTGAATACACTTCATTCTCGTCTTTAAGATACCGCTGTCCAAACTTGGGTCGTGTGTTGGTTGTCACCTCGCTCGGATCGTGAGTTTCGTTATTATTATCCATGGATACTGAAAAAGTACTAGGCACTGAATTATGCGTGAATACTGTTGTACACAGCGTAATTTAAATTCTCCTGATAATTCGAGGATATGAAACGAGAAAGACAGATATAGTAAATTGGCTGTGAACTGAGATCAGTTCGCATTAGACAAGAATACCAGTTCAATCTCCGAGCAAAAGAGCCGAATGACAAAGAGTGCCCATATAATGGATGGCAGAACATGGACAGCAACGGTGGCCAAGTGGTAATTATCATTTTGTAGCTCATTTACACGAACTCAGTCTCTGTAGTTCTATACAGATACTGTTTTAAAATAACTATGGGTTTTAAGGGACACAACAGTAAGCAATTGATTTCAGGTGGGAGGGAAGCAAACAAAAACCTATCACGAGGGATTGAGAAATGATTTGCATCTGAAGTAACTGCACCGCCTCTGCAATCGAAAATCAGTAATCATTTAAACAGTGCTCATGTAGCTTAGATCGCCCTTTTGAGCTGATCACCCTTCGCAGATTCTGGAGGTTTCTGGTTGCCCAGGCTAAGGTAGATGAATTTTCTTGAGGAATCCACAACCGGAGCCTCTGGCTCGCCAAAGCCTGACCCGCAAGGCAGCGGGGCTGTGTGTGAAAACCGCAATCCATTGGGAGCCGGTGTCCAGTTCATCAGACCATACGCCCTTTGGACGGGGTCAGACGTCCAAGGTGCCCAATATACCTCGACGCCTAATCGAGCCGGCGACCACTGTTACAACGGGGAAAGTGAGTGTGGTTCGTACACCTGATGTTGGTCCGGAAGATAGAGGAATTTTAAACTCCATTTTCTTCTCTCAAGTAAACGTCCTATTTTGTTTTATTACCCTCTATCACGAGATAGCACATGACCTCGTTTGTGGCACGAGTTCCGGCGAGTCGTGTCGTGCGCTTGCTCCCTGTAAACCTTAATGCTACAGGTTACATACAAATCTCAACGCCTATTATCGGCTTCTTTCTTTATCTGGTCTGATTCTGGGAATTCAAGACATCAGATTAATCAACTGATTTGGTTAAGCGTCACCGCTCAGCTCGTCCTAAGTGCTGAACTGCTCGTGAACCGCCCTTGTGAATTAGCACTAATTTTGCTGCGATCCAGTCGGATGGCAGCGTTGCTGCGGCTGGGGAGTGATCGAAAAGCTGTACCAGTGTACCTGAAATGATGTGAGCTAGAAGTCGCAAGATGGCTGGATGCAGTCTAGCTGGTCCCATAGCCTTACGCTGGTTTAGGTGCCCAAGCGCTACTTCCACCTACTTCGTCTCTATGACTGTCGGTGCCGTGGGCAGTTCAGGGATGGTTTCTGATAGGGCGACCCCCATGTATTTGTCCACCTAAGAGCTTCCCTTATATCAATTCCCAATTCTGCTCTCTAATTGGATCCTACGATCTTGAAATCATCCGAAAATATGGAGCTGGGCGAGCGAAGACATTCAGGAAGATCAACCATGTAGAGCAAGAATAGGAGTAAACCTATGCCTAATCTGGTGCCGAAACCACCTCATGCGGGAGCAACTGTCTATCAGATTCGCCGTGTTTGTCAAATTACATACAAACTAGCGGAAGAACAATATTTCCGAAAAAAGGGCAAATAGTGGTTGAAATTTTGAAAAGTAAAGAAGCCGCTGTGATTGGAACTCACGGATGGACGTGAACCTGAACTTTTCACAACTTCATCACAAAACTGCCAACATCCGTTTTTCCCAAAAATGAGACAAATTGGCAGTCGTTGATGTAAGAATGCGATGTTTTAAATTATCAGAAGAAAAGTCGTCAATGTCCAATAGTAACCCCCCTGGATGATTTTTGGCAGAAATATTACGACTACTCACAAGTATCGTGATGTCTAAAAATCTTAGAGCTCTTACAAAAATCAGTATAAAAGTACTTACGATTAATATAGCAGCAAAATAACATAACCAGCAAGAACACCGGATGGTTTAACAGGAATAGGCTTGCCTAATGTGGCCCAAAATGCTTCCATTTAAGTGGGATGTGTATCATACGAAAAATCGAACCTCATCAAAGTCACCCAATATCATCTTGAAGACAGAACCGTACACGTTCTTCAATCGGTGCTTCACCCCACTCCTGAAAGATTCCACAGTGTTAGTGTGAACGCCGGTCGCACGATGTATAAAGCCGTCGGAGAAATTAACCGACTCCAATTGATGAGCGTTTTTTGCACTTAAAAATCATTAAAATAATTTGCAAACATTATACAATTATAACCGTTTCATGGCAATGCCCTAATACAGAAATACAAGAGGGGGGATTACGCCCACGAGGACAGACTGAACTACACTTTCAATCATTGGAATATGTGAGATGCTCGGCTCGTGTGTGCAGCAGGATGTCCCTCGTGAACGGATACACCAGACAACCGCAAGTGGGCCGAGTCTAGGTGTGGGCTGGAACCGTCCACAGACAGGAGGTTCCGGTCAGGTCAGGTATAACCGGACGGAAAAGGCTTTCGCCAACCAAGCGTCCAGATTCTTNCTTGCTCCGGTAGGAAGGTTTCTTCTCCCAACGCTTCAAACTCGTTACAGTCGCTGTCTTGCAACTGTTTTCCAAGTTCTCCGTGGAGAGGCAAGCTGACAATTTGAAAGAGATGGAAATGCAGACACCATGAACCAGAAAGCCCAGTGAGACGAACACGAATCACACACGGAACGGAAAGTTGCGAAGGCCGTTAGAAATTCGAAACGATCGCACAACGTCGAGATTGTAGTCAGTCAGTCAGTCTTGAAGTGATTCACGGGTTCAGTTCAGTTCAGTTCAAACTACTTCAGGGAAGGTAGAAGTCCAACAGTCATCTAATGCTCTCTTGAAGGCAATGACGTTCG